GGGGCAGGTCATGGGTGGGGGAGAAACGGGGAGGGATAGTTTTAGCCGTACCCCTTCCTCTGCCCTGATCTCACATTGTTTTTTTTCCCTGATTCTCTTTCTCCCACACCCGCCCCCCTTTGGCTTCAGATCTTGTTGCGTTTCTCTTGTATTTGGGGGGGGGGATTGCGAGGGGACAAGATGTGTTGACACCCCATCGTTTCGGCGAGGCAGGCCTTTATAACGAGAGAGTTCTTTCAAAAAAGCTCAGGAACGAGCGATCCGTATTGTGTGCCGTATTCGAAAGTAGCCGTGTTTTATTTGGCTCCTATTTCGAGAGTTAACAATATTGTGGTGCAGTATCGTAATCTCACTTGCCCTCCCTTGGTGCCGCTTTCTCGGTCTTCCCTGCCCAAAATACAGCGGGCGATTGCGGTTGTAAGGGAGGGAGGGATAGATTCCCAAGCTTAGGTTCAGCATCGTGCTTGGAAAGTCCCTCTGCTATTTCCAGTTCCTCTTGTTTTCCCCAGTGTTTGCATTCACGATCACGTCATGGAGATCAAGCGCCCACTCACCAACCGCACTTTTATGTACAGTAGTTACAAAAGTAAAGGCAGCCCAGACTTCTCTCTCGCCCCCCACCAACCTCCTGCATTCCCCCTCCCCCACACAGACCTTATTTTGTTTAATGTGACTTGGCTGATAATCCACATTGTGGAGATGGTCTGTCTCTGTTTGGGTAATTGCACACATGCAGCGTGAAAAGGTGCCGTGATTTGGGGTTTGTGTGCCAGTCAACACCATGCCCTGCTCTGGGACCACAAGCGGCCATAAGCCATCTGTTCTCTGTCCCCAGTACCCCCTCCCCCTTTCTTCAAAGAAATATAGTTCCTGCTTACGCTGCCCTGGGCCTGAATGTGCTGGTCCTTTCAGCCTTTTGTTTGGAAACATTCTCCAATTTTTGCCCCAAAGGGTGCAGGATCTTTAATCTTCTGCCAAGAGAACAAGCCTGATCCTGTTTTTCTTTCCCTGGCTGTTTTCGAGGGAAGAGGCAGCTGTAAAAGGGAGGTTGTGGTAAATGCTAGTTTTTCCTTTAGTTCTGCTACTAGACAATTTGGCATCCTTTGTTTATCTCATAGGGAGAGTGCGGAAGCTTGAATTCCTGTGCGCACTTACCTGGAGAGTAGACCTCCTTGAACAGAGGGGAAGCTGTTTCTGAGTACAGTACATGTGTATTGGTTCTTCATTTTCTCTCTACCTTAGGTAGAGAGCTTCAAGCTAGTGTAGTCTTATCTGTTTGGTAGCAGCTTTTTGTATATACTGTATATGGTAGCAGTTAATGCCTGCTGTTACTTTTCCCACCGCACAAATCCATCTAGCTGCTTTTTGCCTCCCCCCCTTTTGTCTAAGGCTGGCTGTGCTTCATTGTAGTGCGACAGAACCAACAACAAAATGCCACTGTTCTAAGTAGGGAGTTGTAGTAATCAGTGCATGGTGGCATGTACACACAGCAACGCTGCCCAATATGACTTTTGAACTTGAGGCACCATTAATAATCATTGAGCTATTGACAACCGTTCCTGCTTCCTCCATTTTAATGCTTAACAATAAAAATATAGATATGTCCCATAATGTCTTTTAAAGTATTAAAATTAAATTTATAGGAAGGATCAACCTCTTAAAAACAAATCAGCTTTTGTCCTGTTGGGCTGTAAATGGCAGTTACCAGAAGTAAATTTGTACTGTTTTTCCTCCAGAAACATAAAGTGATTCCTATGTACTGTATTCTTTTATCAGTATGAGAAGGTTTCACTCAAACATTTGCCTACTGTACCAAGATTGCTATGCTAGCGTAAGAAAGAGTCATAAGCTGGAAATTCATACAAGTCAATGCGTAGCTCAGTGGTTTAGGTATCTATCTGGCTGTGGAGCCAGGCGTTAGGAGTTCGATTCCCCATTGTGTCTCCTAGGAGAAGAGCCAGCCTGGGTGGCCTTGGGTGAGCTGCATAGTCCCAGGGAGCCCACAGAAGAAGGAAAGGGTAAACCAGAACTGAGTACTCTCAGCCTAGAAAACCCTGAAAAGGGTTGCCACAAGTCCGAATTGACTTGAGGGCATTGTAATTATTGTTGTGCATTGGGATCAGATCATTTGGGAATATATTTTTGGAGATCCATTTTCAAACTTCTGATTCCTGGTGCATCTGTTTTGATAAATACCAGAACATGTAGTGAAAGTAATTCCCTTTGAAAGCATGAAAAATTCTCTTTCCCCTAAAGGTTAGCAATATAGAATTTTTAAAAATGTGTTACTAGGCATAGCTGGTGTAGTACTTCAGGCACCTTTCTTTGTCTCTTCAGAGCATCTTGAATGAACATTTCTTAAGTGCATATTCATACTGGTTTATGAAGAAGGTATTATGGGTGAAGGTGGCAAAAACATCAGTTTGTGACTGATGTAGATTTATTTATAAGTGCATGCATGTGTTAGTTTGTGACATAAATATGGAAGTAGATTTATTTATAAGTGCATGCATGTGTATGGAAAATAAAATAGACGAGACTTGGAAAAATACCTTGCAAAATACCCTTGTATACACAAGCATAGATGTGTGTATGAAAATGTTATTTGGAAATATACACCAAATGCTTTTCCTTCTTGGCTCTGAATGTTCAACATCTTGATATCTGATATCTAGCTTGCCCAGTTCTGTTGTCATTTTTCTCCTTCCACTTTGGAGGGAGGCTCTTTCACATACATGCATTGATAGGTCAATCTGTTTCATTAGAAAAAGAAGTGGAATGGAAGTGCCTCTGTTTCTCCAGCTCTGCTGTTGCTTCTAGGCCAGGTTGGAGAAATGCATGGTCTCAAATAAGTATTTTAGGTCGTTTAGGTAATAGATCTAAAATGCTTATCTGTGGTATTCCACCACCACCACCCCATGGTCTAAGATTTACTGTTCAGGTGTATACATATAAAATGCACACATTTTGGAATTGTTTGTGTACGGAGCCAAGTGTGACCTTAGTTGCTTTTTCTTTGTTCTATAGAACACTATAAACACCATTGGTTCCCTGAAAAGCCATGCAAAGGATCGGGTTACCGTTGTATCCGAATCAACCATAAAATGGATCCCCTAATTGGACAGGCAGCGCAGCGCATTGGACTCAGCGGACAGGAACTCTTCCGTCTCCTTCCAAGTGAACTCACTCTTTGGGTCGACCCTTACGAGGTATCCTATCGTATTGGAGAGGATGGCTCAATCTGTGTGCTGTATGAAGCCACACCAGCAGGAGCTAGCCAAAATAGCACCAGCATGCAAATGGTAGACAGCAGAATAAGCTGTAAGGAAGAACTTCTCTTGGGCAGAACCAGCCCCTCCAAGAGCTACAATATGATGACTGTATCAGGTTAAAGATATATAACCTATGGATGGATCATCTTAAAATGGATGGATAAATTTGGTTTTTACTTTGGGTGGGCTCCTCTGGGGATGGATTATGGAATTTAAACCATGTCACAGCTGTGAAGACCTGGCACAACATAGAGTGGTAAACTTTATTTTAATAGTGGCAGTGCCATAGTTTCAACAGTACCTTTCAGTGATTTTAATAGCCTGTGAGTAAAGATTACTTTCTTTCCTAAAGTGTGAAGTTGTCCCAGGAAGGCTGCAGTTTTCTCCCAGGTGTCTTGCTTAACTTTTTTTCTTCTTCTTCCTTTTGTTTTCCAAAAATCACCAGTTCATTCAGCTGAAATCTCTATTGCTATAAAATCATTCTCTGCTGTTAAGGTTGCAGAGTAAATTTGCACTATACATTATTTTTTTGGGAAAAAAATGTTACCGTTTTTGGCAGCTCAGTAACAAGGTTTGTTCCAAACATGGTAGTACTGGAAATTTTACCTGATAACTTTTATCTAGCACTTAACAGTGTGTGTAAACTGTACATAAGTCACACTTAGTGGGCGTGAACTGGGAAGAAATGTTCAGGTCTCAGTTGTGTATTGGCCTTCAAGGTAGCAAGCAAACAGGATCTGTTATGCCAACAGGCTTGAGAGAGACCGTATAAAGACACTGTCTGAATTGTGGTGTGTTTTACCAGCCAGCTATCTATACATTTGCTAGCTTGTAGTTTTCTAAGACTGAGTAAACCTCTTATTTTTAGAAAGTGGAGGTCTGGTTTGTAATTTCCTTGTACTTAATTGGGTAAAAGTCTTTTCCACAAACTACCAACTATTTTGTGAACTTTGTTAGTCATCCGTTTTTTTTCCTTTTTGGTAAATTATGAACTGGTGTAAATTTGTACAGTTCATGTATATTGATTGTGGCAAAGTTGTACAGATTTCTATATTTTGGATGAGAAACTTTTCTTCTCTCTATAATAAATTGTTTCCTATCTTGGCATTTTAATTTAATCTCTTGTCGTGCTTGCATAGGATCAGTTCAACTATTTTTAGTCCCAGTGGATTTAATGTAAAGGATAAGCATTGAAAGGGATAAGCAGAGGGAGCACTGATGCAGGGACAAGCCTGATAGCAGTTATGGATGGATGAAGATCAATCGGGTATATATATGCCTGAGGAGCCCAGACCCACACATTTGATACATCACTTTAATACCTTTAAAAATTGGCCATGATGTGGAAATAACGCAAGGGTCCAGTAATTCCTAAAAATGAGGAAAATGTGCAGAAGTGACATCAAACAAACAAGAGCTGTGAATAAATCCAGAGGATTAATGTTTACATGGTTTCCTGATGAACAAGGATGTAACAAATTTAAAGTGGTTTTCCTAATCCACTGATTAAAACACAAGACAAAAACAAACTGCATTTCTCACCTGATGGATATCCTGTCCAATTCGCATTTACTAGGATCAATGTAACATGACCATTAGGAGCAGGTTAACTACTCTGCAGAAAGGTTTGATGCCTTTCCATTGTTCTTCAAATGCAAGATTCTCTTAAGATTTTCAGTAAGATGGGATTCAGCAAAAGGTATGTATCTATTTCCTTCCCAGTGTAAACAGGCGTTTTGATGAGACAAGGCAGTCACCCTGGGCACACTGACTAGGAAGTGAGCAGGGTTTCTGCAAAAATGTACATAGGCTTGAGTTGTAGGCTTGAGTTTATCACCTTACAGCTTATAAACACAGCTTGCACCCCACAAGCATATAGATATGTTCTTGGCTGCTGCAGCAAATAGTGCCAAGCTAATTGAACACATGAACTTCTCACCTGAATGCATTTGGTCCTCAACGTTGCTTGGCTTACTCTGTGCCACTTGAGGATGTTATGAAGGAGATCAACAAAATATGTTTTGCCCGATAGATCTGAAAAGTGGCTTTTTCTCAAGACTGCTGCTTATCTTGGTCTGCCTGGTCCAAACTACTGTATAGGTTTTTGTATCTTGAGAAGTGGCATTGATGCTCTTGCCAATACGGGAGGTCCAAAGTCACTTATATTAGCGAATACAGCTTTGATATAGTAAACATAAATAGCTGATTTTTTGCTGCAAGTCTGTTCCAGCCCGTAAACAACTGAATGCAGCATGTGAAGAAGTTTCTCAATGCTCAACTCAAGAGTTCCCTTCTTTGTGATATCTAACAGTGTTGGACTTAAGCTTCTCTGAACAGAGGTACGGTTCACCTAAGCACTACATGAAAGTCAATTCTACATGGCCAAACTACATTGGAGAGCAAGCACCTAGGCATTTGTTATAAACACCTTCTGACGTTGACAAGCAAGCATTCAAAGGTTTTGTTTTGTCAATTCTACATGGCCAAAGTACATTGGAGAGCAAGCACCTAGGCACTTGTTATAAACACCTGACATTGACAAGCAAGCATTCAAAGGTTTTGTTTCTTTAGTCTTGCAAGTTCTTTTCCATTAGTGTAAAATAAAAACGCACAAATCCATCATTTTCAGGAGTGTGATGTTCTATAAATCTATGGCTCTGGTATGGCTCCACCACTGAAGTAGGCAAGAGTTCTCACCATTCTTCTTACCCAAGCCATCAAGGCATTTAGAAATATCACCATGCTGTTAACAAAAGGCAATAGCAAGGTCGGATTTAGAACTTTATGTTGAACTTTCAGCTTAATGAAATCAATACAAAGTCTCCCAAACCTGGCCTTTTAGCCTTCATAGGTCCAGCATTATTCACTTTCGTTAGTTACAGCTACCTTAAGACGAAGATCCTCCGTTTGGGGGACATGAGACACTCCCTTGTTTGGCAACACTTGTTCTATTTGCGTGGGTTTTAGTCACTAAGTAGGACAGTCCACTAAACTGTTTGACAGGTGCTCTAAGTAAACACAGCTTGCCTCTTCTGCAAGCCAGTGCAAGCTGTAAAACCAAAAGTTCCATTTATTCAAAACAAATGAGAAGTTGCAATGTTGTGGTCATACCTTCCGCAGAACACGTAACCCATGGGGGGTGGGGGAGCAGCAGTAATTGAAAGTACATTGACAGCGGTTTCCTGTAACTCTGAATGAGACAGTTTTGTTTGCAGCTTTCCTTTTCACCCATGAAGGCTGCAGCTGTAGCTTTGCTTGATCTAGCATGCTCCTGTTTGTTCCTTTCTTGTTATCTTAAGCATCTCAGCCTGTAAGGCTGTGTTGCCTTCATGGTGTCAGTTCTGGCAGTCAGAGAAGCAAGATAAGTCTCTTTATGTTGTCAGGTTGCCTGCTTGCTTTCAGAGAGTGGCTGCTACCCCTACTATAGGAAGCTTTGATGTGATGCTGAATCTGGAGTAAACATTACGCTATTGATGACTGACATTTTTAATCCTTTCAAGGTTGGAGGTGACTACATTTGTAACCCTTCCTAGTTGAGTCTCGTACACAACCTTTTGTGTTATGCTTCATCATATTTTGATGAGGCTTGATCTTATTTCCAGCATTTCAAAATATAGTATAAATTAAAAACTGCATTGTACTATAATAGCTTCAGCAGCTTTTTATGATGCATTAGCTAAAAAGAAGGCACACATACTCCACGATGGTGTCACTGATATTAAACGGGATGTTCCTTGATGAAGTAATACTGGCTCAAGGTCAATTGAAATATTAATTCAGACTCCTAATTTACAAAGTATCTACAGTAGTAGTACTATAGTGTCACACAAACTCTGGAAGAGATATGGCCATTGCTTCCTTTTTACAGAGGGGAAGCAGATGTTGGAACAAGCTATCTGCCAAGGATCATGGCTGTTCGGAGCTAACACTTGATAGAAATGAAGCTACCAATATTATTTAGCAGCAGATAATTGTTTCAAGGACTGACAAAACAAGTCTCTTGTACAGCATGTGGGCTATTACCCAGTCAAAGAAACGTTAGCAAATTTGCCATAACAAACCGATCAGATGTGCATAAACATTCTAAAGGAGAAAACACATCCATGTTTAGGGGATATACATATGTGCCACAGCAGGTATCCACTTAGAACAATCCACTGTGTTTATAACTATTTGTGGGTGGTTTCAGTTACTGGCTGATTAATGAGGGAATGTTTTATTTGCTCAGAATATTTTAGTGTGGTCTGACTGACTAATTTAACATCTATTTCTAATAGGACATTAATATTCAATGTTCTATAGTAGTCTTTTATCTTCCCTGTCCTTTGCTGTTTCCTTGACAGAGTTCAGTTCAATTGAAATGGTTCTGTTGTTTTCGCAGTCATTACTGCTTTAGCTGATTTCAGTTGAGCCACATGTATATGTTGCTCTCTTCTTGGACCTGATTCATAAGCTAGAGACAAGAAGATAGTGCAATGGGGCTCCTCTAGATTTAGGCCTCAGTTTTTTAAAATTTTGATTCGTGTTTCGATTCTTAAAGGGGACCGTTTCTTGAAGTGTCAGATGCCTTCCCTAGCTATCATCTGTTTAAAATTTGGTCTTTGTAAACAAGGGAAGCAGTGGACATTTATTAGCTGAAATCTTGTTGTGCAGTTCCACATGAGTTGCAGTAATGATGGCAGCAGCAGCAGTTAATCGCTGCTGATTAAAGACTTCCTTTTATGATTTTGAGTGCATACGGCTTTGTCACATGGCTCACAGTCACGTGCACCCCAAAATCACCGCTAATCAGCAGCAACTTGCCAGTGATTATGATGTCACACACACACCCCTTGTGCACAGGGAACTGTGCAACAAGAATTTCAGCCATTATGTTAATGAAGTGCAGAATGTTTGATGCCATAGCCTTAACCATGTATATAGAGAATGTGTGGTGTACACACTTCTATAAATTCTACTGTGAAGCAAAAAACCCAGCATTTTATTACTCTGTCTGAGCCAAGTGAAGCAGTTAGGTTCCCCCCCACCCAGTGCTAAAACATAAGCATAAGCACAGGGACCTGCTAGAAACAAGCCAGTTTCAGGAAGCATTCTGTATGTTCAGATGTGCAATAAATCTCCTGCCAGCTGAGAGTTCTAGGCTATTGAAGTAACTAGGAGGCCTACTCTTTCTAAACTCGAAATGCTCAAACTCATGAGTCATCTCTTCAAAGAAGAGTGAGGCTTAGAAATCACCGGCTGAAAGCAGAATGTGTTGGCTTTCGTTTACCTCCCTATTACCTTTGTTGTAGTTCATTGGCCTTTGAAATGCACTGCCCACTTCTTTATTTTCCTTTAAACCAAGCTCATATTCTTTGATTATTAATGTTTAAAAATACTTTGCCTTTTGTATGGATTGTTTTTGTTCCCTCTTCCTTTGTGGCCAAGCCTATTGTCCAAACATCTCAGATTTTTAGCTTACACTGCTCATAACAACCTTGTGATTAAAAAAAGGGGCCAATCAAAGTATTTGTTAGAGGTCAAGTAACTGTTTGAGAACTCAGCCTAAAAATGTGAAATAGATACTGTACTTTGTGTTTGTTAAAACAGGTTTAGGGTGCTTTTTTTTCCTGAATAAATTAATACCAAGCAAGCATTTTCTGTTTTATAAATGACCCTTAGGCTGGTTGAAATTTATTTATTTATTTATTTTATTGAAATTCTACCCCGCCCATCTAGACCAAAGGTCTACTCTTGTAGAGAATGCTTGTGTCGTACAATATTTTTAATGAAGCCTCTGTGTCAATCTGTCTCCATGTAGTTAGTGTCTTGTATGTCAAAAACAGTTCTGTAAATTGACTTTTTCATATGTTGGAACAAGTATAAATGGAGTAGTTTACTAAGATGGTAGTCCACAATGGTTTGCTTGATCTGTGAGGCATTTGTTTATGTGCTATGTCACAGTTCGTAGTTTTGGGATACATGGTGTATTAAACTTGGCATTTGACATACTGTATTTTTCGCTCCATAAGACGCACCTTTCCATAAGATGCACCAATTTTTTAGGAGAAGAAAACAGGAAAATATAATCTGTTTTCTTCGCTCCATAAGATGCACAGACTTTCCACCCCCCT